ATGTTCACTGCTTTCAACAAGCAAGGACATCTTTGTGTGCATCCAAGAAAGGAAATAGGAAAGCAAGGAGATAATTGCAACAGATGCACTTAACATGCACTTTAAAAATCAAACAAACTGTGTGCAAAAGGAACCCACAAGGCCTTGCTGAATCCCCCACCGCAGCAAAGCCTGAAATGGTGATCTCCTTCTCCCCAAACATCCGTTCCCCCCCTCCCACCTGCTAACTCGAACGGTTCCTGAGATATAAACTCGTAAAAAGTCACATTTTTTTTTGTATTGTGCTGGAAAGCAACCTCACAATGCTGAGGCTACCGTCGCTCTTTAATATCCAGCTGAGTCCCCCCACTGTGCTTTGTCAGTCGGTAGCAACATCCAAGCCTTCTTGTAAAAGTAATTCGCACTTTCCCTGCAACAGTGTTGCTTTAATTACCACTGACCTCTACTGCTGCTCAGACGGGCCTAGCAGGGCCAAGGAAGGGTCAGCGCCATATTCGCAGCAGAAAGGAGCAGAAAGGAGCAGAAAGGCGCCTTTTCCTTCGCCCTCCTTACTTTATTATTAACAAACCATCTTTGATTGAAAACTTCTCGACGTCTGAGATCCAGCCTTATCTCCGCGCTCTCTGGGGGCTTTCATTATCAAAAGAGACCCGCAGATGTCAATCAGGGGAGGGAGTGGGGGAATGGGCGGGGATCAGAAATAATAATACCAACAGGCCCTAATCAGGAAGGCAGCGGAGCAAAGGGACACGTATCTTTTAGCATGCAAGCCAAGATCAGGTTTATAATACACGCTCGCCGAACCACAGAGGTGGGCAAACAGAGCTGTAAATTCAAACCCGGGACTTTAAAGAGGAATGGTGGCTAACCTTCCCCAGGCGATTTCGAGTTCACCCCGCACCCCGCTTTAAAACTTAGCTGATAGCGGCCTCTCATTAGGGATCTTCAAAGTGCACCCGAGTCACAAAACAGAAGGAAATTCAGCATTGCAAGTTATGTTTCTAGTAAGGGGGTAGGGAGACGCAAATATATATATATAGAGAGAGAGAGAACTCAAATCAGAGTTGGTGACTTTCCCCTTCACCAATTTGCTGCTTGCCAAACCAGGCCATATCCTGCTATCTGAGGCTACTGATGGCCAATGAAAGCTTTGTTTTGGTTTTGTGTTTTTAAAATATAATGTTTTAAGACATTTCTTCATTATCCACATTTCCAAGAAGGGTACATAAAAGCAGTCTATTGAAAAGGGGTCAATAACTAGATAGATTGATAAATTACCAGTGCTTTTGTTCTAGAAAAAGAGGCGTCAGAACTAACCATGAACGCCTCCCTTGTTCTCTTATAATGGCAATGGCAGCTGCCTGAGAGGTGCTGGAAGGAAGTTTCAGTGAGTTCCAGCTAGAAAAAAGGCTTGAGATAAGATAGATAAGATGATAGATAAGATACGATAAGATAGATAAGATAAGATGATAAGATAAATCACTACTTTATTGCTTTTAAAAAAAATAGTATTTATTAATAATTTCAGAATTACAGAAAAAAAATAAAAAATAAAAAATAAAAAACAACACTACAATACATAAAAAGAAGAAAAAACGCAAAACATAAAAACCAATACAGCAATACAATAAAAAATATATATAAAAAAGGGGGGGAAAGGCACAAATCCCATATAACTTCCATTTGCTTGTTTCGTTGACCTCCTCACACCTCCCTTTTTGTATTCTAGTTTAGTTAGTTATTTCAGCAAATTCTTTCCATCTTTCTCAATTTTTATTAAATAATTTATCTTAACAATTTAACCTATTAATTAACTCGACAAATCCTTTCCATCTTTCCCCATATTCTGTTATTCAAATTACCTTAATTTATTTAACCTTATCTTACCATAAAATACCTTAAAGCTTGAAACTTAATACTCAGTTATACATAACCCCTGATATCATTTCTGCTAGAGTCATATAGTTTCATTCCAACATTTTCCCTAATATTCATTAATTTTAGGCTAATTCCCTAAAAAGAAAGCCTTCTTTATAAATTTTCTTCCAATCTTCATCCAACGTCTCTTCCTCCTGGTCTCAGGTCGTGTCAGTCCTTACTGTCCATTCCATCTACTCCATCAACCTGGAAGCCTTATGTCCGAGGCCCTTAAGTCTCTTCCATGTCCCTTCTGCAGATCTTCTTCTTCTTGTTTATACTTGCACTTTTCCTTGTCTTTTGTTGGTCTCTTTCTTAATTTCTTTCCTTTCTCGTTGAGGAGTAGGTCTCTGGGGGGTTCCAACCCAAAGTTATCTCCGTCTCCCTTCATCAAATCAGCCCATTCCCCACAGTCCCACTCCCCACAGTCATCAATATAATCCAAAAAATATTTATGAGCATATTTCGAAGTCTCTCCAAAGTTAAAAGCCTCCTCAGCTCCAGACTCCCCCTGGCCCACTCCAACTTCAATCTTCAAAAACAACGGCTTATGCTCCTGTGGGGCCTTGGGCCTCTCCATTTGTATTATTTGAGGTGCAACCGCAGCCTCCTCCATTATCTTCTGCACTTGCCCAATCAATACAGGTTCCTGAGTTGGACCCTGGATGGTTTCTGTATCACTATTCACTAATTGTCCACAGTTATTGGCCACAACAGTCATCAAATCCATTTTCTCATTCATCAAATCCATCTTCTCATGCATCTGTTCCAACAAAGCACTTGTCTTGCATAAAGCAAGCACCAAAACTTCCTTCCAGCTCATATTTAGTCAAGGTCAAAAGGACTAATCCCACGATCTTAATCTCACAGCTGTGGCTGCAGCAACAATTTAGCAAGCTCCCTCTAGAGGAGACTATTTCTATTTGTATCCATCTTTTTAAGGCAAGTCCAACAAAGGAAAATTACTTTAATTTTTTCAGATATTTTGTTTCTTTAGAATGCAAAAGGCAACATTGGAATCAGTTTATTTCTCTTCTTTAGCTATCTGTCAAAGTATTCCATTCACAGTCAATGAACCTCTCCAACAATTTCTGTCTCTGACACCCCGTTCCCAGGTTAGAGACGGTGGAAACTTATCTTTCTTCACTCCCTCTCCTGCAGGCGTTACACAACCCCCCCCCTTTTTCTCCTGCTTCCCAGGGGGTTTCAGTAGTTGTAAATGAAGGCAAGTTCGGCTTTTTTAACGACTTTCCAGGCTTTAGCTTACACGGTTTTTGCTTCAGTCTATATCCACAAAACGGAAGGCGGACTTCCTGTTGAACCTTCCCGCTTCGATGTCAAATTCAGATATGTCGTGATCCAATTTTCCGTTTCTACTCACGGGTACTGGTTGTAGATCCAATTGTCCAGAGGCCAACGTCAGCGCTCTCCGGCGATGGCTGTGCGGCTTCACTCCGTGAAAGTAGCAGTCAGTTCGCAGCACCGCGCCGCTCACCCCACTTCACTCCGGAATCCCAAAAAGGGGTTCCCCGTGAGTAGGGGGGGCGCTCCTGGTGCCCTGCCGAACCCCACGTTCCCAGGCTTCCTCCGCCTGGGATTTCTAGCAGGTCCCCACCTTCGCCGCGGCAGAAAGACCCAGTTTCCACGGAGCTAGTTCCTCCGGTCGGAGGAACTCCGCCATTCGCCGATGGCGCTAACCCGGAAGTCCGATAAATCACTACTTTATTGCTGCTGGAACAGGCTCTGGGGGAAGCTCCCAGAATTCTCTGGTCCACATTCACACCCTACATTTCAAGCACTATGATACCACTATGAGCATTCATGGCTTCCCCCAGAGAATTCTGGGAGCTGTAGTTTGTTACAGGTGCCAAGAGTTGTTAGGAGGCCCCTAATTGTCTCACAGAGGCACAACAGCCAATTTTCTCTGCTTGTTAAACCATTTTGGGAACTACAGCTCCCAGGATTCTTTGGGGGAAGCAGTGACTATTTAATGTGGTATACTGTTCAAAATGTAGGGTGCAAATGTGGCTTTAGTCGTGTGCCTGGAGTTCAGCAAGGAGGGTAAATTTCCAAGGAACCTCCACGGAAGGAAAAAAAGTGTGCCTAGATTTCTAGATATCCATTTTGCTAAAAGCTTATGGACCTGATCCAGAGGCACAGAGGATTGGCAGAAAGTGGGGGGCCTGGCGACAACAATATTGTGGAGAAAGACGTGGTCCATCAGGGCTGCCATTCTCAACTCCAGAGACTCTTGCCAGATGGATGTTAAGTAATGGGGACTTTAAAGGTAAAGGGACCCCTGACCATTAGGTCCAGTCGTGGCCGACTCTGGGGTTGCGGCGCTCATCTCGCTTTATTGGCCGAGGAAGCTGGCGTACAGCTTCCGGGTCATGTGGCCAGCATGACTAAGCCGCTTCTGGCAAACCAGAGCAGCGCACGGAAATGCCGTTTACCTTCCTGCCGGAGCGGTACCTATTTATCTACTTGCACTTTGACGTGCTTTCGAACTGCTAGGTTGACAGGAGCAGGGACCGAGCAACGGGAGCTCACCCCATCGCGGGGATTCGAACTGCCAAGCTTCTGATCGGCAAGTCCTAGGCTCTGTGGTTTAACCCACAGAGCCACCCGCATCCCAATGGGGACTTTGGGAGGAGCAAAAGGATGTCTAGCAACCAAGAGCCAGGCAGGGAGTTTTAACTGGTTACAGTGGTACCTCAGGTTAAGTACTTAATTCGTTCCAGAGGTCCGTTCTTAACCTGAAACTGTTCTTAACCTGAAGCACCGCTTTAGCTAATGGGGCCTCCTCCTGCTGCCGCGCTGCCGGAGCCCGATTTCTGTTCTTATCCTGAAGCAAAGTTCTTAACCTGAAGCACTATTTCTGGGTTAGCGGAGTTTGTAACCTGAACATATGTAACCTGAAGCATATGTAACCCGAGGTACCATTGTATCCCTTTGAATTTTGCTCGTCCTCTAAAAAATTCCCCAAACGACACCTACATTTTGCCTCCTGAAAATGGGGTGGCAAAAAATGACTCTGGAAGGGATGCCTTGGACTTATGCCCTTAGTTCCTCTTTGGGAAAAGGTCATAGGTCAGTGGTAGATCATCTGCTTTGGGTGCAGAAGGTCGCAGGTTCAATCCCTGGTATCTCCTAGTGGGGCTGGGGAAGATTCTCTCCCTGAAACCCTGGAGAGATGCTGCCAGTCCGTGTAAAAAATATTGAGGTAGGTGGACCAACTGTCTTGACTCGGTAGAAGGTAGCTTCCTAAGTTGCTGTAGAATTCCAGTTTTTCTTTCCCTGCCCAAAAGGGAAAATGTCGAGATTCATCGCAAGGAGACAGCCCTTTTAAAATGCAAGAAAGGAACAAAGAATGAGAAATAAGAAGCTCAGTATTTTGAGTTTGGTTCTGCAGCCTCCAGCGTGCTATGGCTGGCAATTCTTCTTATATACAAAGCTGACTGAAGGGAGGGGTGGGTTTGAATAACAAAGTGATCCGATAACAATCACATCATGTACAATCACATAATGGGCGCTATCCCAATTTTTAAAAGGCACAAAGTATCCTCATTAATATGATGAGTGCAGCAGTCAAATCAGCGCTGTGATTTTATCAGGGGCTTCTGACTGTACATGAATTAGAATATAAAATGCATACAGAATTTTTAATGGGGAGGCTTTAACATCCTCTAAATGCATTTCTTACTGTCATTTTTTTTGGATCGCATTACAATCATATTAAAGTAAAATTCCACTTTAAAACGGCTATAGGGAATATGGCAGGTTCTAAATTGCAGCCTCCCTTTGTCTTTCAGCTGGTGTGGTCTAGCAAAGCTGGCCCCCTGGCAGCCCACAGGCCAAATGCAGAAATTTCCGCCTGATAATTTTATTTCAGATGCTGTTTCAACACATGCACAGCAAGAACCTAGCTGTGTGAGGACAGGAAACATAGAATAAGGTCAAACTGAAGCGAGTTCAAGAAAGAGGAACCAGCCCACATAGGGGAAAAGCTACACAAGGGTGTGACACATTTGTTGTTGTTTAGTTGTTTAGTCGTGTCCTCCTTGCCATGGCAAAGGGACTTGAACAACTCAAAGAAGCTATGAGCTATGCCGTGCAGGGCCACCCAAGATGGACAGGTCATAGTGGAGAGTTTTGACCAAACGTGATCCACCTGGAGCAGGAACCGGCAAGCCACTCCAGTATCCCTGCCAAGAAAACTACATGGACAAAGACAACAGGTGTGACACATACAAACACAGAAATAAGAAGGAAGCATCTAGGAACTGCATGAAGTATTTGATTCATAGACAAAACGTGTGGAGGACATCTGGGTTGGACACGTGGGTTATATCAGCAAAGTTACTTAATGAGAAAGGAGTCCAGGGAGAAAAGCCCTGATAACTCTTTACTGAGCCAGCTGAACCAAAAACAGCATACAGTGGTACCTCAGGTTAAGAACTTAATTCGTTCTGGAGGTCCGTTCTTAACCTGAAACCGTTCTTAACCTGAGGTACCACTTTAGCTAATGGAGCCTCCCGCTGCCGCTGTGCTGCCAGCATGCAATTTCTGTTCTCATCCTGAGGTAAAGTTCTTAACCCAAGGTACCATTGTACAACTCTATGAGAAAGGTTGCCCTTCTTAGCTCAGGCCTTGTACATAGCAGGGAGACAGTCAACCAAACATACAGAGCAAAACTCCCTCAGAACTGTGCAGTCAGTCAGAGCATGTGCTATCTCAGTTAAAATCATGCCACTCTGCTTGGTTGCTAAGTAACAGCCATCCTCCTCATGTCTAGTTGTAGAGCCTCACCAGGCACCTTTGTTATATATCTTTAGGCTCCAGGTGAAAACATTCTTTTTCTCCTAGGTCTTTGGCTAATTAAACAATCCATGACGTTTTAAACTGGAAGGGGGTATTGGTTTTGTAGTTATGTTGTAAATTTATGTGCTTTTATATTGCAAACCACCCTGAGAGCCTTGCATGAAGGGCAGTATAGAAATTTAATACTAGTATACCTGTATACCTGAAGAAGAGTCTCCACCCCCATCGTTTTGCCCAGACACTGAGGTCCAGCACCGAGGGCCTTCTGGTGGTTCCCTCCCTGAGAGAAGTGAAGTTACAGGGAACCAGGCAGAGGGCCTTCTTGGTAGTGGCACCCACCCTGTGGAACACCCTCCCATCAGATGTCAAAGAAACAAACAACTATCTGATGTTTAGAAGACATCTGAAGGCAGTCCTGTTTAGAGAAGTTTTTAATGACTTATGTTTTAATGTACTTCTAATCTTTTGTTGGAAGCCACCCAGAGTGGCTGGGGAAGCCCATCCAGATGGGCGGGGTATAAATAAATTATTGTTATTGTTATTCTAATAGAATAAATATGAAATTACCTCTAGCATTAACAGAACGAACACTCAAGTTAAAAGCTGAATGCTTCACTTCCAACACTGTATACAGTGGTACCTCGAGTTACATACGCTTCAGGTTACATACACTTCAGGTTACAGACTCTGCTAACCCAGAAATAGTACCTCGTGTTAAGAACTTTGCTTCAGGATGAGAACAGAAATTGTGCAGTGGCTGTGCAGTGGCAGCAGGAGGCCCCATTAGCTAAAGTGGTGCTTCAGGTTAAGAACAGTTTCAGGTTAAGAACAGACCTCCAGAATGAATTAAGTACTTAACCCGAGGTACCACTGTACATCTATCTTCAAGGCACTTGCTGGCTTCTGTCTGTCTCAAAAGACAATGGAGTGTGCCTCCACAGGTGAAATCAAACTGCTGGAGAATCACAGCGCCTGCAGTGGCTGCAGAGACCAGTAACTCATAGCTGCTGCCTCCCATGTTGTTTTTCTGGTGTTTGCAGCATCAAAGTGACCTTCCTGGGGTGCAAGCCTGGGCAGTGTGTATGGAGGTCCTGGGTTGCCCAGATGACAAGACCCCTCTCTCGGCCTTGCTGAAGTGGTCCAAAGGAAATCAGAGCAAAACATTTGGCACCAGTTGCGCTGCAGGAGTTGCTGCAAGAAGACTTACAAGGCAACATCCAAAAGCCTTAGGGACTCCTCTCCAGATTTGTGTACGCTTTACTCCTTAGTCTATTCTTCTCCCAAAGATGCCTGCAAGGCTACCTTCCCAGGCTGATGAGCCCCATCTGCCACTAAACAGTCATCATTAAAGGAGAAGGAGAAGCCAATCAGAGAATGAAAGGTCCAGAGTTAAGGTTCACACAAATGTGTGTTGTTGCTTTAGAGAGAGAAAGTTAAGAGTGAATCTCTTGACATGGACTCTGATGGACTTTCAGGGTATTCCGGCATTTCATCAGATTATTGGTTGTGTTCCTGTGTTGGATAGTCCACTGGGATCCCGGCTGACAGGCCACCTCTGCTAGCTCTGCGAGAAATGTCTCTTTCGTATCTTCTTTATATGCTTGGGTAAGTTTATTATTCCCCTCTGCTTGTGTGAAGCTGCGTTATCAGTAAAGTCTGTGTTAAACCTTAAGCTTCTTCGCTTTGAGTGTACCAAGTTGGAGCCCAGGGGGTGAACTCAGCCCCAAAGATCAGAGAGGTCCAAGTGCTAAGGAAGCTAGCAGGCGCTTCCAGATAATAATTCCAGCGCCTAATGAAAAGTTATCATAAAAATAAATTAGGATATGAGTTTAAATCTGGTTCCAAAATTGCGTTTGAACTGCCTCTTTAACAACTATAGTTTTGGGGGGAATTGTTGTTTTTTTAAGGGATATGGTGGATAATGTCATTACATAGTTGAGTCACTAGATGGAACCAGACTAAATTTTATATGGGTGTGTGTATGTGTGTTCTGTTCTTGTGTAAGAAAGACAAAGAAAACAAATGGATGAATGACCACTGCCAATCTGCCTCTTGAGATTAGCTTTCAGGGATCATATTTGTTCCTCAGCCCTGTCTACATTGTGATCTACATCCTTGCCATATGAAGGCTTCTATTACAAGTGCTATTATAGAGCTTGGCCATTCATGGATGGAGGTTGGGTGGGAGGGGGTAAAGGTAAAGGGACCCCTTACCATTAGGTCCAGTTGTGACCGACTCTGGGGTTGTGGCGCTCATCTCGCTTTATTGGCCGAGGGAGCTGGCGTACAGCTTCCGGGACATGTGGCCAGCATGACTAAGCCACTTCTGGCGAACCAGAGCAGCGCACAGAAACGCCATTTACCTTTCCGCTGGAGTGGTACTTATTTATCTACTTGCACTTTGATGTGCTTTCGAACTGCTAGGTTGACAGGAGCAGGGACTGAGAAACGGGAGCTCACCCCGTCGCGGGGATTCGAACCGCTGACCTTCTGATTGGCAAGCCCTAGACTCTGTGGTTTAACCCACAGCACCACCCGTGAGGGAGAGTGAGTGCCAAAGTTGGCGTCTATCTCTCAGGCTAATAAAAGGAGCACAATGTGGCTGGCTACCAAAGAGAAGACACTCTTCATCTAGCAAACTGGACACTGGACTGTATGATTTGACTTAGTGAAGGTAGTAAGTTCATACAGTCCAGTGTCCAGTGTCCATCTTGGCTGTGCATGGCAGCAGCTTTTCTGGGTTGTTTCTCGGCACTACTAACTGAGATATTGTACCTGAAGATGCCGAATCTCTGTCTACAAAGCATGAGTTATTCCACTGACCTGTGGTGGATTCTCAGAGTTCAACTTCCTGGTTACCCATGAATTCATGAGAGTGACTTTGGGTGATTTTGCAGGCATATGCAAAATGCTTATATGTTGTGATGTGTGACAACTACTGTTTTATTTTCACCACCTAAGGTCATGAAAAGCAAAACTGGGTGATAAAATTGGTGGGGAGAGAACATAGCTCAGTGGTCAAGCATCTGGTATGTAGACAGAAGGTCCCAGATTCAAGTTCCAGCATCATAGTATACAATACGGCCTCGGCCCAGTATACCTGGAGGAACGTCTCCCCCCCCCCCAGTCATTCTGCCCGGACACTGAGGTCCAGCTCTGAGGGCCTTCTGGCAGTTCCCTCACTGCGAGAAGTGAGGTTACAGTGAACCAGGCAGAGGGCCTTCTTGGTAATGGCACCCATCCTATGGAATGCCCTCCCATCCGATGTCAAAGAAATAAACAACTATCTGACTTTTAGAAGACATCTGAACTCAGCCTTGTTTAGGGAAGC